GCGGGGCGGGCGGGGAAGGAGCAGGTGTGGCACGGCGGGGATGTGGGGCCTGTTTGCGCATCCCCGGCCCCTAGGGACTCTGCACGTTCCCCGTGGCCTTGCTCACCCTCAGGGTACGAGCGAGCTACTTGACTCCCTTTGTTATGTCCGCGTATAGCAGTCCCGCCTTTGGTTTTCCCTCACGCTGCCCGTACACCTTAAGGAGACTGCGAAGCAGATAATCGTGTACTCGGTGCAGTTTGTATCGAGTACATGGTTAGCCCATAAGGGGCCCGCTGTAGCTCTGCGGTTTAAATGTAGTAGGAGCCAGGTGCATAGGCACCGGCGCTCCTGCTCTATTTAAACTGCTGAGCTGGAGTGGGTAGGTCCGGGACTTGACATGAGCCCTAGGACTGCTCAATCCTCTCGTGTCTTGACCTCTGCTGCTCCCCCCACACACACTGCAGAGACAGTGCTTGGGGGGGAACTGGCTTTTAAGCTGGCTCCTGCTTTCTCTCCCCCTTGCAAGGGGTGGGGGAAGCAGGTAGTTGACTGCTTTTACAGCCTTAATACACATGCACAGGGAGTGAGTGCTGACCATACATCCAAGTCGACTTCCAGACTCTTAAGCACCTGCAAGTCTTTATTTACAGTGGCAAGTTAAATGTATGCATAAGTGCTGGCAGGCTCTGTTTCTTATACCTAGCAGTGGTGATGTGTGGTATATAGCAGAAGAAGTATGTACCAATACTGTGTGCTGATGCAGGAAGGAGTGGGATAGAGACAGTGGGGATATTTTACTAGGAAGTAGTATGGTAATATGTACACAAACACAGGGCAGTATAGGTTGTATTAGGCTGCACAGCAGTAGTGCATAATATTGGAATAATAGATTTATAAAGGCTGTGTAACAGTGAGCAGGTGGATATAAGGCACGGGTTATTTATTCACAACCTTATACTACAGAATACCAATGTGCAGTTTAAGGCTGGTACAAAACACATCTCACAGCACATATAACTTCTAAGATTTTTAATGGTTACATGGTTACTTTAATACTTTTTTGACGACATCTCTACAATTACCCAGTTCTGAATGCAGTGCCATCGCCAGCAGCTGTGCAGAAGTAAGAGTAGCAATACTGCAACCCTCCCTATAATAACGTTGCAACTCCCCCACAATGCTTTTCATGGTTATCATGTTTGTTCCCATCCAGCAATATCAGCAGAAATTACCTTTCAAGTTACATTTTGCAGTTTATTTTGAAATACGATGTCTGATTATATTTTGATGTCCTACTTTTTTCTTTTTAACAAATAGGGTTTTTTTAATACATTTTGAAACCATGCATGTTATTTTGAAAGTATGTTCCCTCCTTTGTGAAACCACTTGTTGCCCCATATTGTACAGGTTGGACCTCCTTGGTCTGGCACCCTCGGGACTTAACTGGTCCCAGATGAGGGATTTTGCCAGAGCTGGGGAGGTCATTTTTGGGCCCACCCCTCCCCAGCCATGGCCTCACTGCCAGCCTCCTAGCTGGCTTCCCTCTGCCGCCAGCCCCTCCACATGCAGGGTTCATGGCCCCATCATGGCAGCCTCGCTGCTGGCATGCATAGCCCCACTGCTGGGCTCCCAGCCACCAGCCCTCCACCAGGACTCGCTGGTGGTGGGACATGCCTGTTCCTACCAGACCAGGGATGTTGCCAGACCAGAGAGTCCTGGTTAAGAGAGGTTCAACCTGAACAGATGTTTGGAAATGGGCTTACCTTAAGTGACATATAAGGAATTGATTTCAGCTAAGGCTATGTCTAGATTACATCCAGGACCTTATACAAGCACAGCTCTGCCACTGTAAGACCTCTTGTGTAGTTGCTCAGGGCTCCTGGCCCCTCCCTGGAAGCACTGCTGCTGGCGTGCACAGCCTCAGTGCCAGGCTCCGTCCCCACAGGGCAGCCCCCCTGCTGGGGTCCAGTTGTGCCACTGGGTGACAAGTCCCACTTGGGCTTCAGCCTCCCTGCGCAGCCCCACTGCCTCCTGGCCTGACCAAGCAGCTCTGCCAGGTGGTAGTGGGGTTACCGGACTTTTTGCTGTGCTGCTGGGCAGCTCCACTCCCAGGTTTCTGGCCCTACCATCAGGCAACCCTGCAGTCAGGCTCCCAGCCTCATGGGGCAGCTGCATTGCCTCCCAGTCCTGCTGGGCAGCTAAGTCACTTGGTGGTAGAAGGGCTGCCAGGCTGCTGGTTGTCTTACTGGAGTGCCCTGCTGCTTCCCAGTCTCACTGATCATTTTTGCTGCTGGGCTCCAGGCCCACTGCTTTCTGCCCTCTCCTGCCCCCCTGCAGTGTTGGCACTGGGCAGTAGCCCTACTGCTGGGCTCCAGTTTTCACTGCCACAGGGCAGCCCCATTACTGGGCTCTAGCCCTGCTGTAGGGCTCCCAGTCGCCAGCCCTGCACCAGGACCCTCTGGTCCTGAGATATCCGTGGGCCTGCTGGACCAGGAATGTTGCAGGACCAGGAAGTCCCAGTTAAGAGAGGCCCAACCTGTAGTTAGAAAAAGACATTTTTCCAAAATAGGACATAATTTTCCCCCACTAAAGATGTTTTGAAACAAAACAAATTAGGATTTCCAGTTTTAACTGTCTTGTCATCTTTTCACACACACATGCAGTATCCTTGCTACTTCAACTCTGCTTGGCTTACAAAATTCGATGGCATCAGAGTGATAAGCAAGTACTTAGAGTGGAAACCTTAAAGGGAAAATGTAGGTACTGCAGAAAATTGTATTGGTAAATTCAGTAGGTAATATTCTTCCCCTGGGTCAGCACTGAATGTGTGACTCTTGCATGATTTTAGGAGAAGCAAAAAGCAGGACAATGTAGCACTTTAAAGACTAACAAGATGGTTTATTAGATGATGAGCTTTCGTGGGCCAGACCCACTTCCTCAGATCAAATAGTGGAAGAAAGTAGTCACAACCATATATACCAAAGGATACAATTTAAAAAAATGAACAAATATGAAAAGGACAAATCACATTGCAGAACAGAAGGGGGATGCGGGGGGGTGGGAAGGGGGAGGAAGGAAGGTAAGTGTCTGTGAATTGCTGATATTAAAGGTAGGGAGAGTGGGATGTTTGTGAGTTAATGGTATTACAGGTGATAATTGGGGAAACTGTCTTGGTAATGGGTGAGAAAGTTCAAAGACTTGTTAAGTCCTTGTTGGTAAGTGTCGAATTTTAACATGAATGACAGTTCAGAGGATTCCCTTTCAAGTGCAGATGTAAAAGGTCTTTGTAGCAGAATGCAGGTGGCTAAGTCATTTAGAGAGTGTCCTTTCTGGTTAAAGTGGCAAGAAACTGTTTTCTCTTTGTGATCTTGTCTGATATCTGTTTTGTGGGCATTAATCCTTTGGCGAAGTGTCTGAGATGTTTGTCCAATGTACATAGCAGACGGACACTTTCGGCACATGATAGCGTAGATTATATTTCTGGATGCGCAGGAATATGTGTTCTTGATCTTATAGCTCACTTGGTTAGGTCCAATAATGGTATCAGCAGAATGAATATGTGGACAAAGCTGGCAACGGGGTTTGTTGCAAGGGAAGGTACCAGGGTTGGTATTAGTGTGGTATGTCCTGTGGTGGTTGGTAAGAATCATCTTGAGGTTAGGTGGTTGTCTATAGGAGACTATGGGTCTGTCTCCCAGAGCCTCTTTGAGTATGGTATCCTGTTCCAATATAGGCTGTAGTTTATTGATAATGTGTTGGACAGGTTTAAGTTGGGGGTTGTAGGTGATGACAAGTGGTGTTCTATTGTTGGTTTTCTTGGGTCTGTCTTGAAGTAGATGGTTTCTAGGTATTCGTCTGGCTCTTTCAATTTGCTTTTTTGTTTCTCTGGGTGGGTAGTTGAGATTTATAAATGCTTGGTAGAGATCCTGAAGCTTCTGGTCTCTGTCAGTGGGGTTAGAGCAGATGCGGTTGTATCGAAGGGCTTGGCTATAGACGATGGATCGTGTGGTGTGTTCTGGATGGGAGCTGGATGCATGTAGGTAACTGTATGAGTCAGTGGGTTTTCTGTAGAGAGTGGTGTCTAATTTTCCATTGTTGATTTGTACGGTGGTGTCCAGGAAGTGGATCTCTCGTGTAGAATGGTCCAGGCTGAGGTTGATGGTGGGGTGTAGGTTGTTGAAATCTCTGTGGAATATCTCCAGTGTTTCTTGGCCATGTGTCCAGATCATAAAGATGTCATCGATGTACCGTAGGTAGAGGAGGGGTGAAAGGGGACGGGAGTTGAGGAAACGTTGTTCTAGGTCAGCCATAAAGATGTTAGCATACTGTGGGGCCATGCGTGTACCCATGGCTGTGCCGCTGATCTGGAGGTATAAGTTGTTCTCAAACTGGAAATAATTGTGGGTGAGAACAAAGTTACATAGGTCTGCTATCAGGTTGGCAGTAGTGTCCTCTGGGATAGTGTTTCTAATTGCTTGTAATCCGTCTTCATGTGGGATGTTGGTATATAGAGCTTCTACATCCATGGTGGCAAGGATGGTATTATTGGGGAGGTTATCGATGTTTTGTAGTTTCCTTAGGAAGTCAGTAGTGTCTCGGAGATAGCTGGGGGTATTGGTTATGAAGGGTTTGAGAAGAGTGTCTACATTTAGGAGACATTGGACCTCAGCTGACTTTCTTTCAGGTGAGACACAAACGACTGATCCTCACCATTGTTGTTAAGAGTGTTGGATTGGCCCAGTTGGAGTTGTTAAAACTTTTTATTTCCTTTGGCATTTCAGTTAGATGTGATATTCCTCGCTTGTCCTCCTAAACTGATGTCATTTTGCTCTGTACTATTTGCTCTGTGTCATGATTCACCTTAGCATGAGTACATGGTAACTGAATTAAAGATTTCTTCTGTTTCCAAAACACTTTGGAAACCATCCAAATGAAAGATATGATGTTGCACTTAAATTCACACTGTTAAATTGAATAATCCACTTAAGCATAATGTGCTCCTGACGTGACCTGACCAGACCCACTGCATAAATTACTACTCTGGGCAATATCCTATTGGCTTATAGTATACTGCATTACTAATTGAGGTGTAATTGTAAGTGAATAGTCTGAATAATCACAAGTTTGCATGGTGTGGGTTTGTGGGGGTTTTTTTGTTTCTTTGTTTTTTGTCCAACTACTCTTTTCAGTAGTCGTTAGTATGTGTGAGAAGATGGAAAATGCCAGTGAACATATATAAAAGTATTTAAAGATGAGTAAATCTATATAGTTTAAAACCAGAAGAGACCAGTAGATCATCTAGTCTGGCCTCTTGTAGACCATGGTCTATTTAAACTTTACCCATTTACCTTTGAGCCCAATAACTTTTGTTTGCTTATTGAACTGAAAATATCAAAATGATGGAGAAGGTTGTGAAAGCCTTCATAACTGCTCACTATATTGGTCAACAGCAGATTGTAGACTGGGGTGGGCAATACGTTTTGAATTAGGGCCACTTCAGAATTTTTTGAAGGGGTCACAAGCTGCCCCGGAAGGGGCAAGTCCTCAGGCGGAAGAGACAGGCCTTTAAATAGCAGGAGTTGAAAGGGCTTGTGCCTCCCTGCAGCTCCCAGACAGTTAGTGAGGGACAATAGCTGCCAGCCCTTTCAATTCCTGCTATTTAAAGGGCTCGCTGCTAGTGTGTTGCCTGAAAGCGGGGAACACTAGAGCCCTTTCAACTGCTTCTGTTTGAAAGACACATGTCTTCCCTGGGGTTGTTACCTGACAGCCACAGGGAAAGCGCAAATCCTTTAAACAGAAGCAGTTGAAAGGGCTCACGAGTCCCTGGCTCCCAGGCAACAGGCTAGCATGGGGCCGGGAGCTGCGAGCTCTTTCAGTTGCTTCTGTTTAAAGGGCTTGCTCCTGCTGGGTGGCTGCCAAGCAATGCAGTTGCCCAGCAGGTGTGAGCCCTTTAAATAGAAGTAGTCAAAAGGGCTCCCAGTGTTGCTAGTGCTTTGCCAGGATGCACAAGCCCTTTCAACTGCTTCTGTTTAAAGTAAGGATGCTAAGTATAGTGTAATTGGCTAATTGAATAGTTGATGCATTTTTGCATCAATTAGTCGATAGGGCACCTCCACCTTTGAAGTGTAGCAACAGCCCTAGCTTTCAAAGGGGCAGGGCCACATGGAGCCCAGGATCAGCTGGGGACTCCCCAGCTGACCCTGGGCTCCATGTGGAGCAGCTGTTTTGAAACACTGTGGCAGCTTTTAAAGCACAGCCCCTTTGAAATGCCACTGCCGTATTTCAAAAGGGCAGCGCCGTAGGAAACCCAGGATCAGCTGTGCAGCACTGCCCCTTTGAAATGCCAGCTGCGGTGCTTAAAAGCAGCAGCACAGCACTGCATGGAGCCTGGGGTCCCAAATGCAGATGGGGTTGCAGGTGGGAGGGAAGTACAGGGGTTGAGGTGAACTGTCTCAGTTGGGGGCCACATCAGTGAGAGTTAGAGGGTTTTGGAGGGGGGTGTTGTGGGTTCTCACTTGTGTGGCCCCCAACTTACTTTTCTGTGGGTCAGTGGCCCCTGATGGAGAAATGGTTCCCCATCCCTGCCATAAACAAAATTGACATCTTTTGTGATGGACATAAATTAATATTTGACTTTATTTAAAATGAAGTTTGGTAAACTAACATGAGAAAGTTAAAGTGTAGTCTGTTTAATAATTTTAATTAATATTTCTTTTCTTACTGGTTAAATTAAACCCTTCTCCCTAGCTGCAGCTCTAGCAAAATGGCTCGAGCATAATTATGTCATTAATGGCGACTTTCCATTAGCAACTGGTGTTCCATTGGAAGGTTTGCATTGAGTCAGGTGAGCCGCAGGTCAAACTCTTGAGAACCACTGGCATAAGTGTTAGGTGATACTGGGCAGGGAGGCAATGTGGTAGGCACACTGGCAAGGCAGGGCTGAACTTGGGGTTGCAGGTGGGAGGGAAGTACAGGGGTTGAGGTGAAGATGGGATTGTGCAGAAATGTCATAGCCATAGGTGTTAAATGTTTTGATAACTTAATAAAAATATTTGAGTCTCTCAAATCTCAGTAGTGCCACTGAAAAAAATCAATCTTTAAGCTTCATGTTAGCAATTCAGCTTTGCCTGTCTCTGTTGATTTCTGCCTTATTTCAATATCTGTATTTTGTACCACACTCTTCTTTGTATATAATATAATTTTAGTGCTTAGTCTGAGTATACTTAGGTTTGTTTTTAAAATGTTAGAGGAGCTCTTTCATAATTAAGATAGTTGTTTTGTTTTTGTTTCTCCAGTTTATCTATTGTGCTTTACTCACATTTCATGTCACAATATTCTGTTTGGTAGATGGAGTTAAAAACTATGGAAAAGTAGAAAACTCCAGCTCACACTTCAGAGATGATGCGTTGGGCTCTGAAAAGAACGAAGAGAGAGCACTGCTTTCCATAGGTTACTTGGCTAGAAAGAAGTAAAAGTGCAAAAGGGGGAAAAATTAGCCCACCTGGAATCACAGCATCTTAGGCTATGTCCAGACTACAACTTTTTTTCGGAAAAAGATACGCAAAATGTGCTCCACAATTTGTGTACTTGTTTCCGGTTGTGGTTTTTTGTTCCTTTTTTCGGAAGAGGGTTTTCCGAAATTTGGCCCATCTACAGTAGAACGAGAAGGACAGGGCTTCCGAAAGAGCGTGTCTGCTCTTCCGTGGAAAAAAGCAGAAGAGCAAATGTGTTCCCTGGACACGGTGGAGTTTTTTCGAGATACCTTCGGTATCCCGAAAAGTCCCTGCAGTCTAGACGTTCCCTTTGTCACTGACAGGACAGTTCAGGATTAACAAATGTTGTTTATTGGAACATTGAGATATTTGTCTTTTTCTGCTTACTTCCTGCGTGCCTCAAGAATCCTGATGAGATGAAAATCATTCTGAAGTTCACATTTTGCTTGCTACTCTCTAGGGCTGCTTTGTGTTCAAACCAAATTCCAAGAAAAGAAGGATCTCTTCAACAGGTGAGTACATTTTGATATATTGCTATACTTTCAAAAGGTTCACTTGATCCCATAAGCCTGAGTTCTGATTTAATTACTCTCCAATGCCAGCACAGAATTGAAGAGCTGTCATCTCTTCAGTTAAGTTATTAACTGGTATGAAATTTCTTTATCTCCAGTGCTCTGCCTTCATTGCCTTATGATCTTTAAAGAAACATTTTTCAATAAAAGTTTTTTTCCTTGGTGTCTTAAACATTATCAAATAGGTAAACAGTGCCTGATAAAACAAAGAACAAGAAATGAATATTCTTCCCTAATCAGAAATATGTCATCCAGCATGTTGATCATATTTTGCTGGTTTTGGTGAAGAGGTTTAGGAAAAAGCTTTTTGTGTCCTTTGTTCCCCATCATTTATGCTTCCAATCCTTCAGCCCCTATGGTGTATTTACCATCTGAAAAGAACTGATAGGACCAATTCCATATGAAGAATGCTGCTCATTTCCTGTTGAGATGAACTAAAGTGACATCCATCCTTACTTCTCGTCCCACCTAACTCCCAAGTTGTCAAAAGTGACCACATTTTGAATGAAGAGTGGGGGGGTGGGGGAAGAAAAGTTGAGCTAGATTTAAAATCTAACTGGGAAAAAAACCC